TTTATTTTAAATTTAGATTATTATTATTATTATTATTATTATTGTAATAAGTAGTATCGAATTGATATAATTATAAATATACATATTAGTTTACCATCTAAACATGGGGCCGCTAAAAAGTTATTTTCCCGGGCCGGTCCAAAATTCCAATCCGTCCCTGGTTTACGGCAATTTAAAATTTCATGTTTTTTAATTTTTTTTCTATAAATATCAACAAAATTGTATTTGTGAAAAGGTAATGAAAGGCTCCTCATATATTGCGGTTGAAAAATATTAAAAATGCATAGGCACAAATTTTTTTATAATCATTTAAAGTTTGAACTTTGACAAAATGTATCAAAATCTTGAAAATTATCAATCATTGTAATTAAAAAATTATGAAATGTTCAGTTTTTATAACTAAGGATTAAAAATTAAAAATATAGATTCTCATATATTGTTCTTATTATGGCCAACAAATCTAAAATATATATAAATACAGTTATTTCTTATAGACATTTTAAATTCAAATTGTAAATTTTTATTTCTTTAWTTTAAATAAAATTAAATTTTTTAATTACATCTAGATTAGTATTCTTGCTCTACGATAAGAGGTATTACCTCAGTGTATAGAGCAAACCTAGTAAAATTCATATGTTAACCATACACTTTGTTCACATTTATCAACTACTATACTATTTATAGCAATAAATAMATTTATTATTATTAAGAGGACGCTACACACGTAAATATTAAAACCAAAAACAAGGTTCACGCGAACACGTTTTATCGGAGCTATAATCACCCTAGGGATCCAAAATATTTACACAATAAAGAAGACAACTATTTCTATGACGTAGTGTTTTTATTTTTTTATTAAAATAATTAGGAAAGGAGTTATTAAGGCTCAAATATGCATGATATTATATGTTTTAAAAAAAGCTTATAAAACTACATTGAGTCAAAATATGAAAAAAATAAAAACACTACATCACAGATAAAATTCTCCCCAATACATGGTAAAAATTTCATGAATTTATTATAAATGTAGCCAGTGTATTTTATGTTCGCGTAAAATAGTTTTTAACAATATTTTATGGTAAATACAAATATTCGTCATTAATTCTAGTGCTGTTCCCGTCGTTCCCGATGCTAGCAGCTAGCGTTCGTTCGGTAAACTAAAACCCCAACCCCCACTCCACTGCCAAAACAACTGTAACCGGTACGGCGACGACGCGTCGCCGTTATCGGCAGGCATTGATATTATATAAATATTAAATAATAATTATTGCAGTTCGAAGAAACAACCAGAAGCCAGATATATAGCCAGATAATCTTAGATTATGGATTATCATTATTTGTTTTTACATTATTCACACTATTCACAGTTCACACTATTTTAGCCGTCCATTATAATTTGCTATTATTTATTCAAMAAATAAGAGATCAMACATAATTCATACACTAGAGAAAATTATAATAAATAATATACATCAATACTAAATTCTTATATTTTTTTAAATACTTACAACCTACAGGGCAGTTTGGACGAAATTACATATTAAATCCAATAATATCGATTTTGGTTATTTTGTTGTRATTYAAARATAAATATTATTCGTGGATATAAGAAACTTTTAAGAATATATTGATATATTGTGGTATTTTATACACACAATGACATTTTCAAATGTATTTTTTGGGGAAAAATGAATTTAACCTACTGTAGAAGATACTAATGCCTAATGCTAAAATTAATTACTTTAATCACAATAATATTATAAAATATGCCTATTGCCTATCTATAGTAATATTATAGACATACCGTCTCAAAATMTCGTTTTTCGTACACAATAATATTATATCATTGAATTTAAATTTAATACCATTGACCGACTATTATTGTAACCTACTGTCAGCCTGGTCTGGCCGAACACAAGCCAGTCCCGCATTTTAAAATACCTAATCAGAAATCTACGTTTTTATGTTTAATAATATTTTATAATATTACATACTTATTACTTATTAGATAATATTTTAATTTATTATTTCACCATTATAATATTAATAAATATATATTTTATACCAGCAGCGGCCCACCGCGAAATTTCCCGGTATCCCGGTCGTCCAGTCCGCCACTGGTCTTGAGTATGTTTAACATAAATTTTAAGCGTACGTGATTTCACCGAACTTAGAACTATAATTATACCAATATTATAGCTGTGATCTAAATATGTCTTCTTTGCCTTCACACGGTATCATATTATCAATTTACTATTATTAATTTTTATATTTCTCAACAATTATTTAATCTCAAGTTTTATTTAAARTACCTTCTCACAATGTTCATAATCATATCCCTTTTTATATTCTCAACCACAATCATCCCATGCACAGAATGCTTAGATCGGCCAATAAAGTTTGACCATCGTCCTTTTATTTTTAGTTTATTTTAATGTTATATTTATATTTTTACATAGTTTTTATTGAATACTATTGTAATATTGTACTATTATCATAAAATATTACCTATATTATACACTCTTTCATAAAAGCTGATTGGCCCTATCCTAAATAATAAATAAATACAATTTAGAAAGCTTTTCTAGGATGTCAACCACAGTCACCATCAAAATCAAAATTTTTTTATTATTTTTTAAGAGTTAATTWAATTTTTTGATAGTATTCTGATTAGTTGAATTGAGATAAATCTAGCACAAATAGTGCCCTAACTATTAATCTCTATAACAAGTTTTTTTTTWAAAAAATAAATAATTTGTTAGGTAATCAACAGAGAAATTGTCAAGGTTGGAATAAAAGTGAACTTTTAAACACAATTTAAGTATAGTTAAATATATTATATTATAAATATAACAATAAAAGTAAATATAA